GTTGTCAAGCCTTAGCCACGGCATGCCTAGATCCATGTTACACAAGACAGATTTTTATTCATTTTTGGTCTTTTTGAGTTTTTCCTGGACACCCTTGTTTAATACCAAGGTGACATCCCTAGGTTAAAGCAGCTGGTGTCTCATCACTCCTTTCTATTTGTTCTTGCTGGTTTCTCCACTTAAACTTTAAGCTGCTTGGGGTCAGAGCTTAAATCATACTTACTCTTGTGCCTGCCATCATCACTTCAGTTCTTGCCCCATAGGCCCTCAATAAAGAGAGGCTGAATTACACTCTAAAGAAACTATGTCAGGGGAGCCCTAGAGATGTAGTTTTCCTTTCAGCCATATTTGCATCTTAATGCGCTATAAGAAGACCAATGCCTAAGATCAATGCCTCAGCTTTTGAATCAGATACCCGGCAGTACAAGATCACTGATTCCCCTAGTTTACATCAATCCAACCACGTTTAGATAATACAGTATTGTTCCAGAAAATGTAATTGAGATATCAAAATATGTCACCATGTTATTCCTCCTAGATGAAATCATGGTGATGAGCCACCATCACCAAGAATACATTTGAGAGCTTATTTTTTACGCATTAATGATGATGGTTTCCCATTGATTTAATCATTCACTTTCATTGATCCCTCTGGCTATCAGTGAAGAGAAAGCTAAAAGTGCCAGGTTTTCATCTGTGGGCCTGGAATTTTGTGAAACAAATTTACCTTCCCTGACTACCTGAGCAATTCACAGTCTATGGAGGTAAAAATTTAAAAATAAATAAACATATGGATATGAAACTTTCTCTGTGATGACATAAATATTGAATCAGCATGGAAATGAAACAAGTGTATTTTGTTTACAGAAACTAAAACTTGTTTTTTAGGAGTACTTTTCAGTCAATTGTCTATAAAAGTTTATATGGAAGCGTCCATGACATGCTAGTAACATGAAAAGACTTACACTGCATAAGTGAGGAATTTCTAATAAAAATGGTGCAAAAATGTTAAAAGATTTTTAAGTGGGCTAGTTGCAGTTTAATTTTTAAATATTTCCCAAGCTTTAACCTGAAGGTGGGAGTGAATGAAGAAGTCTGGTTGACTGATTACCTTTAACTATGGTGTGTTGGAAGACTAAGCATTGAGATGGTCCTTGAAGAAGCACAGACCTTTTATTTCATTTTATTTTCAGATTTCTTTAACATTAATACTAACTTCTCCTTTATTAATATCTTAAAATAAAATAAGTGGAAATTTTTTTTTATTTTATAGAAGACAAATACAGCAAGGAGTCAGGAGACCAGGATTTGAACTCTGTTTCTATTAACCACTCTGCAACCTTGAGCAAGTCATTAGAGTAATAGAAATGGAATGCTCTCTATATTTCTAATCAACATCTGAATGCTGTGACTCTATTAAGAATGCCAAGCATCCCATTTACAGCTAAATGAATAAAATTGTGTTTTACACAATCAGTCACAAGTAAAAAAATCACACAATTTAAATGTATCTGTAAGGAATTTTAATTGTACATTAGAGTTTATGAGAGTATCACTTTATAGCATTGTTGTAAAACTTTGGTTGAATCATCACGTTTATTCTGAAATATTCATTTTACATATTTGCTCTTTGAGAATGCGTTCTGCTGAATACTTCCTCCAGAATGCAAGATAGAAAGCAAAATTATGAACATTTATGTAATAATTTTATACTTACAAGTGTAATTTGGGGATTATTTGAATTTATAAAATTTGCATTTTATAATATAGACATGAATTTATAAATAAAATGCAAATACTTATAAAAATGTAATAATGCATCCACCACAATGAAAAAGAAAATATAAAAAATATATATTAAAGTATACAAATATTGTATGTGGTTATCCTTTGAATCCTTTTGCCTTCATAAGACACTAAATTGTTTAGCTCTGTATCTAATATCGTAATTTTAGGTATGTGTGAGGTGTGAGTATGTGTGCTTTCTTTTTCAAAGTATTTTTATAAATTTGTCTAGAATTTTATTTAGTTCAATTCATCAATTAGATTACACAAAATAGTTTGCCTTTGATGCTCAGATTTTACTAAATAAAAGTAATAAAAGACTTTATTTTTAAAAACTTATATTTTTATTGCTATAATTAAGGAGTCATATCCTAAAATTCAAGCGGGAAAACAGTTGTTATCCCAAATACCAAAATAATAGAACTTGTATTTAGTTACCTTAATTGGATTAAATAATTTAAGCCAATCTCCAAGGGGTTGAAGTGTTTCCCTCTATGTCTCCCTTCCTGCAGCTCTCTCTTCCTCAACCATTCTTTCTCTTCATCACACACAAGGCAAAAGATGGTTTCACAAGGAACATTCAACCAACAACAACTTGTTGATAGAATAACCTATATAATTTCCATAATTTTAAATTTATCTTTATAATGTTTAATTTATATTTAACATTGCAAATACTTAATTTAAACCATCATCCTCTAGGTGGCATATGATTATGAGCATTATAAGATACAGTTCAATGGTACTTAAAGATATGCCATTCCAATATTGGTGTGCCTTACCTCCCCATATGTTATATTTAACTGTTTAGTCTGTCTTACTAATGACAATGACCTTAAATCCTGGCAGATCTTGACTTTCAGCTCACCAGTAATTCTTTATAGAAATTCTTGCCATAATTTTTGGCTGACTAGTTATTTGCATTCTCACAGATAATTCTGAGACCTTGTTAATATTTTCATGTTAATTGGAATTATGTTAGAATACATTGACTTTAATTTATCATTAACATAATTATGGGCAATAACTGATCAAAGTATTATACCTTGCTTTCAATTTAGGATGTATCAGTCCCAATACAGATTAATTACTGTTGGATATACTGTGCATAGTAGTCACCCTACTGTTACCCAAATGTTAAACATATGTATGGAAATAATCAAATAATCTTTTGATTCAGCTCCTGACATACCTACTATCTTCATGTCATGGCCACATGTGGATATTTGCAGCAACTGCAAATTTAAATACAGCTTTGAATGTTCTCAGTCAAGCCCTAAATATAACTAACTAAAATTTTCAAATTTAGAAAACCAACAGTAAAGTCATTATTCACAGCCCCTCTTGACTTTTAGTGCAGCTATCCACATTTACTTAAACCACCCCTTGTCAGTGGACTTGCTCAGTGCATTTTTGCCTATGTCTACACAACAGGGAAATAAAAGCTCAGATGCAGTTTGAATGAAAACAAACCAACAAAAATTCCTGACATTGGAGAAGGTATTAAGGCAATATTCACTAACAAATTCCCTAGATGATGGTTCAACTGTCCCTTCCTATTTCTTGTATAGCCTGAGACTTGCTCCTTTAAAGTGATGAAGCATACATCTCTCTCCACCAACTGCAAGAGCAAGAATGGCACTTTAATTCGTATTCCCATCAAATTATAGTGATGATAATATCAGGAAATTTATATTGACACAATGGGCCACCTTTTAAAGTTCCTAACCTTTATTTCTGGATATACTTCTCCATATTGCTTAGAACACAAGTCCTATGACCAAGGGTTCCATGGAGTAAAATGCCACGTTGAAATAAATGTCTTTTTTATCATTTCTCTAAAATATTAAATCACAAATTGTGTGGGGTAGTTTTGTTTTTAAGATTTCAATACATGAGAAATTGAGAGCACAAATTTTATTATTTAACTGACCCCTCCCGATGTTCACTTATTCCTCCATCCCCCTTGCTCATATTCATTCATTGAACACAACTCTATTTTCTCGCACTCCAACTAGAAATAATAAAACAGTAAACATGGTTTCAGAAGAAATGACTACTGCCCTAAGAAAACTTCTACAGGAATACCGTCTGGTGCTAAGATACTACACAACTCCAGAAGCACCCAAATAGTGCAGGAGCTTCCTGGTACAACGTTTTCTAATCCTCCTATATCCCTGTTTTAGCCACTACACCTAAAGAAAAATAAGAGCTTTGGCTGATTGCAATTTCAAAGAAGATTTTAAAGGGTAAGTTTGGTGCTACTCTCATCTCCTTCAAGAAAAAGCTTCTTATCCTCAAGCGTTGCTGAGCTTTTGATAGTGTTGCTGCTGAAAGAGATTCCCCGCCCAGGCAGGTGCTCCGTTCTTAACCTGGAAGTAAGACCAATTCCGCAGGAACAGGTAAAATAGGTGTGTTTCCTGTACTCAGCTAAGACGCCTCTCAATGAACAGAACAAACCTAAGCAATGCAAATTGTTCTGCGCTTTAAAACAACAATGACAAAAAGTTTGGTTCCAAAGGGTTTGTTTTCTGTCTTTATTTTTTCATGCTTGATCATACCCTTAACAGCCCAGGTACTGAGTAACACACAAAGTAACTGTACGGAAGCCAGGATCACAGCGTGTCTGTGTCAATTTCCTGAGGTGACTGTCAGAAAATCTGGAGAGGCACCATTGTGTCGAGGGAATGAGGTCAGAATTCACCGAGGACCATTCACCCTGGGAAGGAATAGGACGGGGCAGTGGGGCTCGCGAGCCAGGCTTTGGGAAAGGCGAGAAGGTGAGTCAGGGAGGACTTTGTGGAGAAGGCTTTGTCAGCGCGAGATCCGGTGAAGGGTGGCAGATGGGGGCGTTTGCGCACTGGCATAAGGTAGGAACGCAGGGACGGTAAGAGTAGAGATGACTCTGTTTGGGGTGACCAGAGGGTCGGGGCCATCTACTGCTGCTGCTGGTGTGGGAGCCTGGGGGCTGGAAGATGAGGCGGGACTGTGAGCTGCAGGCAGCTGTCCCCGAGAGGGAGAGGGGTTCAGGTTGCCAGCAGGTGGAGTTGAAATCAAACATCCCCTTGGGGACCACAGAGCAGCACCCTCCCTGGACCCTCTGCCTGGAGGACGGAGAATCACAGCAGCTGGTTTGGGGTGCCTCCCAAATCAAAAGATGTTCTCTCCGCGCCAAGCTTTGAAGCCCGACCCCCGGCACTCTCCCGCCTACTCACCGGTCCTGGGGGTAAAGCGCCATCCGGGGCGCTCGCGAGGGCTGCGCGGCGCAGGAGGCAGGCAGGGCCAGGCGGCGGTGGCGGCGCTGTCCTAAGAGCGCGACGGGAGCTGGGGGACACCGAAGCGGCGACAGCGACGGGGGCGCGGGGAGCTGCAGGGGAGAGCAGTGAATCTGGAGCTGCTGCGCCGCGCGCGCTCTCTGCCCATCTCCGGCTTCGCTGAAGCTGCTACAGCTACTGCTGCTGGAGGGGAGGGGGGCGAGGGGGAGGGGAGGAGGCACGCGGTAGGGAGAGACGGAAGAGCAGGAAGGGTGGGGGGTGAGCAAGGGGAGAGGGGGAGATGGTCGCCCAGAGTTGAGGGGGTGGGGAGGGAGGCGCGCAGGAGCACAGCAAAGGTTCCCACCAGATGAGCTCGGGAGGGGAAATGGAAGACGAGGCCATGAGTCTCTCCCTCGCCCTCCTTCTACCCAACCCTTCTTCCCCCTTCGCGCCCTTTCCTTGGGCTCTTCCTCTCGTGGCTCAGGCTGGGGGTTACCCAAGCTTGGCAGCAGCCTCGGCTTCAGCGCGCTGGTGCGAGTGCTGAGTCCGGGAGGCAACCGCTACAGCTCGCCGCGCCACCGGCCTGTGGCACCTGTGCGCGCACACCGCCGCCCGCTCCATTGCGGCGGCTCTTGGACCAGGATCCCGTAGCCTGTCGCCCTCCTTCTCTCCGCTTCCTGGACAGAATATGATCCTACATGTGCATCCATGACATCTGTATAGTCCCCCTTTGGTGTTTGTTTCCCTGGTCGCTCTTTGGCACCGGCTGTCCCGCCAGAAGGCGCCAGCAGGGAGCTCAACGCCGGCAACCATTGCCTGCCCCTTGGAGCTGTTGCCTGGGCAGTGGTGGCCTTGGTTGTTTACCGCCGGGGTTGACCAGCTAAAGAGGTAAAAAAAAAGAAATATATACATATATCATTTTGACCCAATTGCCTCGGACCGTGTTCTCAATGATCTAGGAAGGTTGTAAGTGTGAAGGGCATAGTGACAGCCCCATTACTTTCTGTCTTGGTTTCCTTCCTCCCTTTTCTCAACATCCTAAAAACCTAGAGATTGAAAGATCTCTGAATCTCTTTATCACAGAGGTTTTCATTTCCCCCTGCATTTTCCTAGGGTTGGTCCCGCTTTCGTAGTGTGGATTTTCTTTTGCTCTATTTGACTCTAAATCAATCCTGTATTTTCGCAAACTACAAAGAGGTGCATGCAAATAGATATTGTACTGAGGACAGATACACGCGCGAGATGGAGAGGGTGAATTAACACACATTCAGAAAATATAAAAACAACTGAACATTATTAACTGATTTCCGTGAGCCGTAATTTTACTTTATAATTTTCACGTGGTAATTGGGGATAGACAGGGAGCAAGTAGATTATGTGTCTAAAAGATATGACTAGAAAAAAAAAAAAAGCCTGGTAAAACTCTCCTCAAATAACATAACACATAAGGTGAGCTAATTATTCCCAGACATTCCCAGGAGGGAAAGAGATTCTGATTTTGTTTGGCTGGCTGGTTGTGTTGCTTTAAAAAAAAATTTTTTTTTTTTTAAATGAAGTAATCCTTCAGTTGGTGGAATCATTTTTTTAAAAGCCTAAAGGATCATAGTCTCTAGAATAAATAAAGTAGGCATTTCATTTTACATAAGTGTGTCTTATATAACAAATGTTCTCAGATTTTAAAAAGTGCTCTCTTGACTGTAAATGCAATGTGGAAAAACATTTTCAATGCAATAGGCCATATCTAAATATTGATTAAAAACCTCTACATTTTCCTGTATACATTCACATGAAGGAAAAAACAATGTTGGAGATAAAGTATTACTTGATGGGCTGAGTGGCATCAACTTGCTAGACTCTATCCTGTTGAGTATATCTGCTAATGAAAACATTTGGTTCAACATCTACCTAATGACCTGAATGAGAGAACCACCTCCTTATTTAGGAACAAACATCTAATTATTCGAATACACCTCCCTTTTAAAAGGCATGTGTTACTGTCTTCAGAGATCCAGAGGTGTACCATGCAAATTAACCCACTGTTATTCTTTCCATAAAGACCATAGAAAGAAAAGGTTTGCAAAGACTTACAATTCATTCAGCTCCCTAAGTCTTCTCAGTGGTGCCTATATTACAGAAGTGAACAATAAATTTTGCAAATGCCAGCGGCCACTTGGGCAGAGGAAGGTTACCAAGAATTAATTAAATCTCTGTTTTCTCATTTCTATTTAAAATATTTCTCATCCCTTCCTTATTAAAGTAATTTACCTTTGAGAATTTTTGCTATTTTCTTCCTATAATTATGAAACTATAACGCAATAGCTTATAGTCTCATTTTATGGTTCTAAAATGGCAAAGACAAAAATGCAAACTATAATGCCTTACAGCCAAGCAAAGGAAAAGGGTGATGTTTGGGGTAGAGCAAGCAAGCTTCTAACTCCTGCCTCCAGCTTACATCCCCAGCCACTTGGCCCACCAGAGACAAGAACAGGGTGATAAGCAATGGAATGGCATTGAACTCTCCTGTTGAAGGACTTGCGTTTCAATGTGGATTCTGAGCCTGGGTGAAAACTTCTCTGTCACCTTTACTACAGCATTCTTACCCTTTTATGCTTCTTTCTCCTTCTACATCTCTATTACTGTTGTACTGTGTTAAGCATTACACCATGGGAAAATTAAGGAATTAATACAATAAAAGCTTAATTTTAAAACCCTGACCCTTTGAACTTATTTAATTGAAAACAAATTCTCATGCTGAAATTTTCTAAAATCAGAAAGATTCAAAACCCTGTCTTTGAGCTGATATTGCATGAGTGCCAGATATTGGTTAGCAAAGGAAATATCATTGCTCTGTTTATTGAACACATATTCAATGAGCACTCCCTGTAGGCAGACAATATGTTAGGTCCCAGGGATATCACAGTTAAGAAAATTGCTAACTGTGCCTTTGTGAGGCTTAAGAGTGATAGAATGAAAAAAGCTTTATCACTAAGAAAGATGTTCTAGTAATAATGATGATCATGACAAATTTCAAGCTTAAAGAATAAATATTTAATAATTTAGTTATAGACATTAAAAAGATTAGGAGTAAAGGAAGACAGATTATGAGCCTCTGCTATCACCAGTCCTTATGTGAGCTGCTGAAGAAACGAGGAGACTGAAGGGTTAGTTAAGAAAGTCACATTTGTTGTAGTAACAAAATACAGTGGATACTTTTTAGGCAAGAGAACATTTTGGTGAGCCTTAACTTTAAAAAATAAACATCTGCTTTTATTCAAAGTGAGAAAAATGGAGAATAATAAATGTTTCTGAGGTTGCAGACACTTCTAAAAATTATATATGTACTATATGATTAGCACTGCTGAATGCATAGACTGAATCTATTATAAAGACAGTGGCAAAAATGAGCATTTTCCCTTTTTCCTCCCAAACAATGTACCAAAGAATCAAAAGGAAAAAAAGTCATAACTTTTTTTCAGTAAAATCAAAAGATAGATAATCCGCAGTTTCCAAAATTTGTATATGAGATCCCAGAACTGCTGAGATCAACCAGAAGTTTCAGAAGAGAAAGAAAGAAGGGCAGAGAGTGGGCCCAATGATACCTAATTTGAGAATATGCAAAAAAAAAAAAAAAAAAAGATTCTTGAAAGTGAGACTTTCACTCAGAAGAACAAAATCAATTTCCATTGATTACAACAATGGATTCAGGAACTAGAGTTGGGGTATAGCTGCAAATGGAGGAAAGAAATTAATCTGACAAATGTAGAGGACTCTGTTTTGGCTAATCTCAGGAAACCTACAAAAATATGATTTCTGAAGCTAAGATCTTACTGTGACTTATGAAACCTATATATCTTGTTTGCACCAATCAGTGTAGGACCTGGAATTTCCAACAATCAGTGTGGCTAGTGAAAGAAGCCCACTTGGATGTGCCTTGAGGGAAGTAATGGAGGGATACACAAAAATTAGGCAGAGGAGTGAGTCTATCTCTGTAACAGCAGTGAAGAGAAACCCTTTGAAAACCCCAGATGTTATTTTGCTCTCCTTTTCCCAAGAACCTAGATGAGAAAAATTTAACTCAGTTATATATGAGTAATTGAAGAAAGAATGGACACACTGTCGACACAAAAGCAGTATAGGAAAAGACTTGCAAAGGAGTAGTAAAATGTTTCCATTGTTGAAGAACACACACCACAACAATGTTGTCATGGAGAAGTTGAAAAATTTGTTCTAACATTACGGCAAAAATTTTCAAAAAGGCACAATGAAGGAATTGCTTCTATAAATTAAAACTACAAGGTACAAATGCAAGAACTTGGGAAGGGATGATGACAGACAATAGGAGCTGGTGACACATAGCTGGAGAAACTCAGAAAAGAAGTGAAGAAAAAAAATACCTTCATGAATTAAGAATATAAATGGAAGAATTACGAGGTAAAATGCACACTGAGATAGACCCAGGCAGGAAAAGAAGAGACAGAAATGAGGAAGGCTAACAAAATAAAATGCAAGTAAAGAAAAACTACACAGGATTAGAGAGAATACAAAAGATGGAGAAGATAGGGAATGGTAATCCAATAGATATACAATTAGAGAAAAGAAATAAATGATGGGAAAATTAATATGTAAATATATTATTAAAGAAAGAAACATTCTTCTAATGAAAGATGACTTGAAATTTCACTTTTAAAAGAAACAGCGATTACCAGGAAAAACTGCCCCAGAATCATCAACATTGAGATGTGTCCTAGTATAGTAACTAGAATTTAAATACAAAAAAAGAATTTTTTTAGACATGCAGGCAAAAGCAATCAGTAACTTATAAAGAAAAATACTGATACTGGCCTCAGAAGTCTTCACTGCAACTTTAGTGGAATCGAGCCATTCAGTATCAGTGGAACAAAGCTTACAAGAAACCAAAGAAAATAAATTGAGAACTAAGGTTTTTTTTTCTTTTCTTTTTAGCTAAATGGTTTTTCAAGTACAATGGGAACAGACAAACAATGGTGAACATGCAAGAACTCAGGGACTATTATTCTCATGAAACTACCTTCAGGAAATCACTAGAATAATGAATGATATTCGGCTTTCTAATAAATAAGTAAAAGAGACATGCTGAATCAAGGACTGATTTTCAAGTTAATACATTCAATGTATTTATCTACTGACCTACATGTTAGAATATGAGAATTAAAGCAATATAATGCA